GTAGCTCATGTATTACGAGTAAGCAAGTTGTGTATGTGATAATTACTGAATATTTAGTACCTTTGAATACTCTTTCATATTATTTGGGTAGTAAGTGTCATCAAATACAGGTTCTTAGGCCTGAATTTAATTGTGACTTCTGTACATTCCTTCACAGGGTTGAAATGTATCAGACCATTTAATACCTGCTTGCTGTCCAGCTGGTGGCATAGATCTATTTTAAATGTGTACACCCTAATTATTATGACAATTGTAATACTAGTTCCATGTAGGTGGAATATATACTGAAGTAGGACCAGGCTTTCTACTGTGGTAGACAGCAGAAACATGCTGTCTTATCTTTTGTCAGAGACTCTTAAAATTTAACTTGCAGGAAATGCAGCATGGGCAATGGCCACCTCCAAACCTGATATTCTCCTGATTCTGCTGCAGAAACTGATGGAAGAAGGAAATATGCTGTATAAAGTAGGTAGATTTTTATTTTTTTCTGGCAGCAGAACATTGGACTTCTGCCTGAAGGTAGACTGAATGCCTTTATGCCTCCTTTTCAGCTATATAATCTGATATATTACTACTCTGTTCCAAACAAAACGAGACTCATACATGATTTTTTCTGGTAATAATAGTATGTATTAGTGTGAGTATTATCCTCACCAAATACCTTTGAACATTTGAGTTCAGAAAGAAACACGAACTCTGGTTAACATGCAGGCTCTCGCTGTGCTTGTCCGACAGTGTAGTTCATACTGCATATATTTATTAAAACATCAATCTCTGTGTTTTCTACTTGAGGGGCATTTCTTGGTAGATGTCAAATATAAATATGTTTTATTTATTGCAACAGTATTACAGTATTAAAAATTTTAAAACCTCTTGTTCCCTAAAATTTGCAGAAAGGCAAGATGAGGGAAGCAGCACAGCGCTACCAGTATGCATTGAGGAAGTTCCCAAGGGAAGGGTTTGGTGAGGAAATGAAAGCCTTCACTGAGCTGAGAGTTACGTTATACCTGAACTTGTCACGATGTCGCCGCAAAACAAACGTAAGCTCGTGCTGTTGGTCTGCTGCCTCTCTGGCATTGGGAAGCTGAGACTTATACCCTACTGTGTTACTGGCATTGTATGTGGACATCTATCCGTGCTATTTTAGAATCCTTTTCACTATATCCTGATTTTGGGCTTCATCACGTCAATGAACGGGTAGCTTATAAGATGAGGGCATGTTGTCATGGAGGATCTATTACAGCTGGTCTTAAATCACACAGTTATTTTGGAATGATGAACTGCTGGATCGTTGTGGTACTTTTAAAATTAAGAGTGAAAGGAAAACACTGCTACCAGCCTTTGTTATCAAACAGTACATCCAGGTGCTATGGCTGTGCCCGTATGTGCTTTGAGCAAATACCTGCTCTTGCTGACTGGGGCAGGAGCCTCTGGAGCACAACCCGGAGCTGGCAGCTTGCTTTGACTGTCACTGGGTAATGGGTGTGTTTGATTCCGTTATTAGGATTTTGGTATGGCTGAGGAGTTTGCTACCAAAGCCTTGGATCTGAAGCCTAAGTGCTATGAAGCCTATTATGCCAGAGCAAGAGCCAAGAGGAACAGCAGGTACTGTTTGATTCTGTGCATCTGTCTGCACAGATTTTTTTTTTTTTTAACTTGCCATTTTTAATAACTTGTTATTTTCTGCTAGTTATATTTCAAATTTGCAACGAAAAAGATATTTTTTAGTGTTCTTTGCATTTGTACTAGGTCTCTCTATCAGATAAAGCCAACCACATCCAAATAGCCATATTGAATACTCTGTAAATACTTATGAGGCAGTCAAAAAAATAAGAAATTCATTTTAAGAGGGATCAAGTGTAACAGTGAATGGGTCTGCTGCTCCACATGTGGCCAGCAATGTGCCACCCAATCCCAGCACTTCATTAGTTATTGCTGAGTTTATGATTTATTACTGGCTGTTTTGGTAGGACAGAATATGATGAATCATTAGCAGTTGAAGACAAAAACAAGGGGAGAGAGAAGGAACTATCTCTTCAGGTTGGAAGAGTTGCAAACTATAGTTTGTAGTATAGTATATAGCTGAAGTACAGGAAGAGGTGCCTTTTTGGATTCGCTGTGTCTTTCCTAAACATATCACTAAGTGGTCATAAAGCAGAGTTCAGCAGGTTCCCAGCTTGAGGTAACTCTGTCTCAAAAGCTGTTCAAAGTGTCAGTTCCTGGTGTTCCCAGCAGAGAGTTCTGCCTGCCTCCATGGGTTGTCAAGATATTGGGTCTACACTTCCACCGTAGTTAAGAATTTCTTGAGGTGGAGAACTTCCACTTCTAATTTGTCACCACCTGCAGCAGGAAGCAACAAATCAGGATATTTTGCTGCAAGGGTGGAGGTGGATTAGTAGCAGGCAATGCTGGGACTCAAGATTTTCCCCAATTTTCATTGTTTACTTATTTATTCCTAAACAGAAAGCTACTTGCTGCTCTTGCTGACCTACGGGAAGCCACTCAGCTATGCCCCAGCAATCAGGAGATAAAACGTCTCCTCGCTCGGGTGGAAGAGGAATGCAAACAGTTCCAGAGAACACAGCAACAGAAACATCAGTCTCCACAGCTACTTGAACAAACCAACAACTCTGATAATGAGGAGGAAGGCATTGTTCCAGGTGTGAATGATAATTTGAATCTTCAAGACAGGGAAGATGAACTGCCACACCCCAATGAATCTGTTTCCCCTCCACAAAGGCTGCAGTGTCCCTCAACTGCTTCATTATTTAGCAGGACCCTTCAAGAAGGTGTTCAGAAAGCTCAGTTTGTGTCCCCTCAAAGCAGAACAAGCAACAAGTACTTGAGAGAGCCAGGCTTGATCATGCAGCCAACAAAGCAGGCACAGATTGTAAAAACTAATCAGCATCTGAGCTCCAGCCAGCCTGGATCTAAACCAGGAAGCGGTCAATATAGCACCAAGACACAATCATCCTTGCAGCAGCTTCCCCATAGTCCTTTGCCCATCCGGCACTCTAAAAGTCAGTATGTGGATGAGACAAGCACATTGGCATCTGGAAGCGTTTCCACAGATCCCACTGCTGAACTGCACAATGAGAAGTTTGTGTCCAGCCAGTGTTCATATCCACAGCATCATGAGACTCTCTCTTCTCGTTCTTTTGCTAGTAAATCTAAACCTGGTGACACATTAACAGCCTCTGCTCCAATGCATGTCAGTGACTCAAGGCAGCAAAGCCCTGTACCCAGTGGTGGCTCTTCTGGCTCTCCAGCCAGTAGTGTGATTCTTGCCAGCTCATCAAGCAGCTTCACTTCAGCCAGCAGTTTGTCAGGCAGTGTTAAGGGGCTGGGCCCAGATGTTCGACTCAAGGAGACCACTGTCAGTCAAGCTCAGGGTACTGAGCACCGACCTCGCAATACTCCGTTTATGGGAATCATGGACAAGACTGCAAGGTTTCAGCAGCAAAACACACAATCTAGTCGCACTTGGCACTCTCAGGCAGCAGATTCGCTATCCACAAATGTTGCTTCTGCAGGCATTCAGCCTTCTAACTTGGAGCAGTTCTCAGTTAAACACTACTCATCTAAAGGATCCTCTACAGCTGCAGCCCCAGGAGATGGTGGCCAGAGCAGTGTGCAAGCAAAAGAACATGAGGAGCTCACGTGCCAAATCCCTCTCCACTGTACAGATAGCAGATTACCCAGCCAAGGTTCTCATTTATACCCCGATGCTGTAGGCAAACTGCCATCCCACAGCACTCAGGACGGCCACCTCAGTCACATCACCACGGCAAAACCAAAGCGATCGTTCATTGAATCAAATGTATAAATACTGTTCTGTCAATGGACACGGTAGACCTGGCTCACAGCATCGCTCCACAAAACACTGAGTGCCTGGGCATGGCTGGGTCCGAGGGAGCAGTCTTTAATGGGATACAACCACTTCCAACTGTTCCTACCAGCACAGGGCAGTGACAGTAACTGGAATAACAAATTTGTGTAGAAAGACTCAATTAGATTGGCCTAGGAGCCCGAGCAGAGAAATCCTTTCCATTACATGTTACCATTAAATAAGCATTTCCTATCACGTAGGGTTTCAGTCTTGGCTTTGGGTTCTTTTGCATCTCACACATAGTACTCGTGCCTCTCAAATGCTTCTGTGCTGGTGTCTCACAGCAGCGCTAAGGGAGATAATCTGCTGCAGAATACTCAGATCTGTACATGCATGCATTTTTTAAATCAAATTATTTTAACACTTTTCTAGTGGGATCTAATTTGGGTTGCATGATGTACACTTAGGAAGCATAAATAATTTGTGTATGAGCAAACTTTAAGCAGCCATGCTTTGACATGTAAATAAAAATATTTTTAGTAACTAGAAGCAATTAAATAAAATGAGTGACATTTGCATGTGTATTGAGAGGCTTTGACCATATTGGTTATTGCACTGAAGAACACAATATTATGGCCTATTAACAATAATCGCACTTTATATAGGGTATCTAATCACCTTTGGGTGCTATCTTAAAGCAAAATGATCTGTTTATTTGTGAAAAGGTACAAGTAAATGCTTAGTAAATGCTTTTATGGAAAACCCAAGAAAGGGATGGAGCGAACGCGGAAGTTTAAGGAAAAGCGTATGTGCAGTTGCATGACAGGATGAAGTTGAAGTTGTTTTTTTGAGGAAATGAGAGGTTTTATTGGCAAGAACATTCTGAAAATGAACGAACTACTGCAGTGACATTCCTATGAGTGCAATTCAGTTGGAGTGCTCAGCTTTATACTCTTCTCATCATGCTTGATTACAGTGTTCTGTGTACATTGTAAACAGCTGTACCCAGCTCTGCACATCCTTTTGCAGTTTGCATCATTACACTTCAGCTTATTTATTGTTTACCGTTTCTTTGATATTTTGTACAAGTCCTATATTAGTCTTGTCCTGTAGTTCTATTTTTGCACAGCTACTGTATTCTTTCCATACAAAATAAAGATTATTAATATACCTGTGGGATGAGACACAGTCTCTGATGGTTACAGGAGAAACTCTCTCCCAGCTTTTCCAAGTACATGTCCAGTACTGGGGAACAGAGAAAGACACATAAATTGTGCTTTGTTGGAGTAGAAAAAGAAATTTAGTTCCTGTACTTTGCTATTTCTTACCTTCTGAATAACTGACTTGGCAAGATGAAGACTCAAAACTCATAAATGTAGTAAAAAGTTCTAAGAAAAATTTATTTGAAAAACTGAGTTCCTGAGTTTGAGTACTTGATTCTTAAACAGAAATACCACAAAGTAGAACTACCAGGAACTTAAAGTTTTTCTGGGAGTTTCCATCAGTGAAGGTTGAACCAACCAGAGATCAGAAGAAAAACACAACTTCTTTTGATTGTTTCCGATACAGTGAATTCCTTCCTTAATTCAATTAATTTTAACAAACAACTTCAAAATTAAGTGGTTTGACTATTTCTGCTGATTCTCTAGCCAGCGACTAATAGCCATTTTTAGTGTCCTGTTTGGTGTGAGCATAAGAGAGTGGAGAGGAAGATTCGTCATGGGACTAGATCGTCTATTGCTGATCCAGTTTTCCATGGCTTCCCTTTCATAGGAATAGCCATCTGCAAAGAAACCATCAACAAAAGCTCATATTACGGAGGCTCGGGCACTGCGGCACTGTGCAGATGTTAAGCTGTTTAAATGTAAAAGGGACGTGAGGAAATACATCCAAACAGGAAAACTGAGCTCTGGAATAAGTACACTGTATGTGAAATCTTTACTGTGGGTATAAACAGTTCCAGCTAGTTTCATGTATCTATCTCTGCCTGCAAAGCACCAAAATATATTATGCACAAGTTAAATAAGACTTTCTTTTCAATTTGAATGATCCATAATGTGAAGTAAAAGCTCATTACCATCAGTTGCCTAACAAGCTGGCTAAAGCCTGCTGCTCTGCTGAACAGGGGGCTTGTCCGCCTAGCTGCACAGAGCTGCCCTGAGCTGCACAGAGCCCTCACCATCTGGCCAGGTTTAGGACTTTGGCTCTTAGAGTTGGTAGCTGAAGCAGTTGATCCTTACAGAACAGAAATTAGGCCCCAGCTAAATGTCAGTCACCCAAGAATCTCTGTGGTGGAATACAAACCTGGGCCTTGTTCCCCTCCTCTAACATAGCTATACTCTTGTCTCCTTATTGAACAAAGCCACCATCATTCCAGCAGTTAGCAGATGTCTTCATATTTTGGCCATTTTAATTCTCAGAGGTCTAATACCTCAGAACTGGATGAAGTTAGTCGCTGTTTAAAGAGCAACAGAAAAAATTATACTGATCTTCTGATGCTCTTATGCTCCTCTTTCCCTTCCCCCCAAGAATAGAACTACACAGCACTAGTTCTTCAAAAATGTTGTAACTGTGACATCTTATGCTACTGGCAAATCACAGTTTCAGGCTTGCTGCATTTAAAGGCGTCTCATTCTGTACAAACTTTTAAGTAAGTGCCCTATAGATGGTTATTACTCTGCTAAGCAGAGTAATGAGCCTGTATTTTGGGAGGGGGTGGGGGCTGGTTTGATTTCTTGGTTTGCTCTTTTCCCCACTGAAAGCACAATTCCATTTTGCACTTACTGAGCCAACACTGTAATTAGGTTTGTAATTGTATTTACAAAGGCACATAAAGGAAGGCACATTTAAAAAAGGAAGAAGCTGCTTGATACAATATTTTTCTCCATATCAGAGCTCTAATTCAGCAAATTAAACATTTATCACAATTCTGGTTTGTTGTAACAGCTATTTAGATTAGTTTTTCTTTCAAAGTCTGATGATCAAGATAGGTGTGGGAACACAAAAATAGGCCTATCTTTACCCTCAAGTAATTAGTTTTAATCCATGTCATGCAAAGACATACCTGTGGCAATGACAGGATCGTTCATAAGCTCTCTTGTTATAGGACATAAGAACTCATCAGGAACGGAAACCGAGATCATCGTCATCCTCAGTTCTTCAATTTTCTTGAGAACTTTACTGCGCAGGCCTAGAGACTCTGAAAAATTATTTGTACATGAAGTGGAGAGCAGACAGGTAAGGCAGAGAGGTCAGGTCTTGCAATAGTCAGCAGCTGTGTTACAGAAGACACAGCTCCATCTCACCACATCCCTAAACCAAAACCCTGCAGCCAGCCTTGGCTCCCACTCTAGTCAGCTCTGCCACAGGCGCTCTCTCCTGCTGTGCTGTGCAACAGGAGCTTGGGGGCAGTAATGAAAACAATCAGTAAAACCAGTGCAAGTGCAGCAGAGCCATGGCAGAGCAGTGGCCTGGTGGCCACACACTCGACTCACACAGTGCGAGTGCAGCACTGCCCTGCAGCCACACCCTGGCACGGGACACTGCAGGGCTGGCCCTTGGCATGGGACAAAGTGCCAGTGGGAAGGTACAGCTGTGCACGGCTGCTGCCAGCACCTCCAACAGACTGATTTCCCTTCACCTGGTCACACCTGGTCTGTTCCACTACACCTGCTGTACAGCACTGCTGTTAGGGTTTGCGGAGGCACAGCTGAAAGGTGCCTGAGCCTGTGGTTTTTACAAGAACACTGATGTCGTCTAAACTGCAAAGACTGTGAAAAACTTCTAGAGGTCAAGATCTTACATCACATTCTCAGAGGAAAGAAAACAGGTTATCAGGGAGAGGAAGAAGATGCTCATTCAAGTGTTTGTATGGTGGTAGACTCCTAAAATTTAGTTAAATGGGAATTTGAGTAACACAGAAAAAGTTGTTCATTTTAGGCAGATAGTATTTTCCTACTTTGTAAATGCTTGGGCTGTGGCAGGTAGAGAGCCATTTTTCAAGTCAGATATATGAGGCTGTAATTCCTATACCTTTGCTGATTTCTTTCCCCACAGAGAACTCTATAGCAGGTCATTGGTCACACTACATTCAATTCTCACAGGACTTTCTACTCGGCATTATCTCATTAGTCTCAGCTGGCAATCGCTGCAACAAAGTTTTAGGCTACTTCAGTGCTAAGGAAAATGTTAGTATAAACTGAAGAAGCCAAGTATCTTTCATGAATGACAATTCCTGACAGATTCCCAGCATCTCTGTTATTTCTAGACTTCAACAAAGCCAGCTGTTACACAGAGATAACATGATCCAATACAGACCAATTCCACACACACAAAAAAAAGACGGGAGCAGTCCTCCTACAAGAAACAGTATCCAACTGTACTTTTTAAAAGGCTTCTTACCTCATTCAGCCTTTTGTTATACTTGACCTCACTTTGACAGACATACTCGCACCTAATTTACACATAAATCTGACCATTGAAATTAATACAGAACTTGTATTTTGAAAGTTCTGGTGCAGTTCACTATCCTTAAACTTATTTCATAATGACCGCTGTGGAATCACGACTAATACGGCACTTCCTTGTGATTCCTTCTAAAATGTAATCACAGTTTTGCAATAAAGCAACAGGACAATGTATGAACCTGATGTATTAGAAAGTGTCTGAGCCAGGCAAGCTTTGCCTGATCCTTAAAAAAGTCATCATAAAATGCACACTTAAGAATTTCAATGTTTAAGGTTGGTGAAAATGTGCAATTCTAAACATGGCACTTCCACAGACTGATAGGAAAAACTATAGACCACCCTATTTACCAAAGTGAGAAACATTAATTATAGAGAAAAGCTGAAATTCCTTTTCCACAGCTTAATAATAATACTACAAGATCGAACAAGGAAAATAGAAACAAAATCAGGTAAGACCATTTAACAGCATCATTAGTAGAAGTGCATTGTATGTCTCTAGGTATAAGCAAACATACACGCACAAAAAAGGAATACTGTGGACAATGTAACATTAGGGGGTTTTTAACAGCTCTGGAAATGAAATAAAAAAGGCATTTCAGGGGAAAAAAAATCCATGCATGGAACTCCCAACTTGCTTTGATTCCAATATTTGAAAGTACTTTAGAGATTAAAAACTCTTTGGATTTCAATACTCTTACCAATTTTTAATTCATTAGCAAGACTTTCCTTAGTAAGATTCAGTAGTTCCTTGCCATCAATATTATTCATTTTGAAAAGTCCAACAAAGTCTGCTAAATCCTGTGTGCAGAGCCAGGCTGAAACATCATCCTCTGACCAGTCCTGAACAGCCACCTTTGATTCATTTTCTACAGTATCTCCTTTGGAAATAAAAAAAGAGTTAAAAAACAAAACAAACAAAAAACCAAATTAAAAACAAACAACACTTTCCCCTCTCCCCCACAAAAAACCCTCACCACAACCCCCCAAAAGCAACCAACAATGAAATTTTCAGTTCAAATAAACAATGTCACTAACAGACCCTGTTTTTCTCAGTACTATTTCATTACTGTGAATGATAATAATGATACTGGAAGTATCATTACTTCCTCTAATAAAATAAATGCTTATTAGACATTCCTTTGGGAGGGAGGGCAGTAATTTGGGTTTACCTTTTATCTATTAATTTTCAAAGTTTAGAGGAATTTAATCTCTTAGATGCCTGCACTTCTGACACATTTGAATTGAACAAACAACCAGGAAAGTGTTATCAGACACTGGAATAATCTTGCACCTCCTTAGAAGGGCACACCAAAATCCAAACTTACTGTTGTCCTTCAAACAAAGACAATATGTACCTTTGTTCCACAAATTTTAGGTGTTGGTGTTGTGGATGCTAAATGCAAGAAGCAAGCAGGGAGCACAGTGTCTGTGGAAAAGCAAGTCACATAACTTTCTCAGACTGGCCTGAGAATGTGGCCTGAGAAATCATGAGGAATCAAAATAATCCTTAGAGATAGAAGACAGCCTTGCAGGTGTTGGTCACTTCTTGTTTTCTTGCAAGAGAAGGTCTAAGGGGTGGTGTACACATGGTGATGTGTAGTTTACTGACCAATAAGAGTTTTACCTTTCCAGACCTTCTTGTACTTGTCTACAAAAGAAAATCTGGGGTAATAAACCATGCTCTCCTGAACAACCCAGGAGAGTCTGTGTCATGCTTTTGCCATTCCCAATACAGTGCGACACTGGTGTAATTTGTACCATTAGTTATCCTATATTAATGGCATTAATGTCATTTTTACAATTAGTTTTTCACCTGTAATGACTGGTAAGGTGCATTTATAATTGGCAATTAGCATTGTTTTCAACTCATCACAAATTATGGGTGTCCAAGAAGTTTTTCAGCACTCAGGCAATAATATTTATCTCTTAAATGCTGTCCAGAGAATATGCAATTGCAAATACAGAAAAAAACCAGATACAGCAAATTAATGAAATTAAGATATGTTTAATATATTTTTCTTTATAAAATATCAAAAAGAGAATACCTCTTCTTGGCATTAATCAGGTCAATTAGAAGAAAAAAAACATGCACACAATCCTGATTTTACACATTAAATGCAGGTAAGAATATGGGATTTTTGTATCTTTATGGTGTTTTGAATTTAAAGAACAGATTACAAATACTTCACACACTGACCTGCACAGGGTTGCTTAAGGTCAAGCTGCCATATGTGCACAGTTTTATCCATTGAGCCTGTGGCAAGTAAGAGACTATGTGGTGCAAAAGCACAAGTTGTAACATATCTACAAATTAAAAAAAAAAGTCTGAAAATTCGTGAGAAAAGGACTTTTTTTATTATGGAATAGAATGATCATGCTGATTTCTTACCTTGTATGCTGAGACAAAGTATGAAGGATATTGCCAGTACTCTGTAAAAGAGTTTTTTTGTAATTTTAAGTCTTAAAGAATAAGAAATTGTTTCTTCACTTGCATGCATCCTTTCAAAACAGAGAATACCAGTTCTTGAAAGGTGACAGAAGCTAACTTCAGAGAAATTACGCAACCTTGACAAAGCTGATCAGCAGCAGAGTCAGAAATGTAACTTGAATTTCCTGCTTGAAACCCTATTTGATTCCCTAGAGCACTGCTTTCCTGCACAATCAGCCAGCATGGAACATGCAGCGAGAACAGTTGCAGAAACACTGACTGAATTAAATCCATATTGGTGGTTGGTTGTGTAAATAAAGACATTTCTTCTACAAATCTTGTATTAGAAGTTACTGAAAGGGTCATTGTGGGGGTCATACCACAATCCTTCAACTGGACCAATTATTAACCATACCTATTTGGCCTACTCTCTATTTGGTCACTAAACACTACTAAAAAACTAAATTCCTGAATTTTGGCAGTTTTAACTTGTTATTGAAAGATTTTCCCTCCTATGAAAAATAGCATTTTTTGGACAGGTACAGACAGGTTGGCAAGATGATTAGCAAACTTATTCTCAATCCCTAATTGATCAGTCAGCACTCCAGTATTTTGAGCTGTCCAACATGATCAAAGCGCCCTAATATAGGTTGAAATCTCTCTCCCTTCCACAGAGGTTTATTGTCCCCACTTTTCCCCACAGAATCACAGGACAGTTGGGGACCTCTGGAGATGATATAGTCCAACCCTTCTGCTAAAGCAGCATCACCTAGAGCAGGTGTCCAGGCCGGCTTTAAGTATCTCCAAAGGAGGATTTCACAACTAGAAAACTCATTGTCCCATTTGATATAGATCTAAGGCCACAAAAGCTGATGAACGATATTAAGAAATACTTAGGCTGTGGTTTCCTTCATCTTTCAATTTTCTGAGGCTCCCAAACTCTAGAGGACATCTTACATACCTGCCTAAACTTCAAACTACTAGAATAAATAGGGCAAAAATTGTGCAGGTTTTGGTGAAAAACTTTAATGCTTATTAAAAAAAAAAAATTGTATCAATACAATAGGTATGTGCAGGGCAAGCTGAAGAAGTTTAAAATTTGTTCATCCTTCATTTTCAGCAAAATTATTAATACTATACAGTACTAAAGGTGTATATATAACACAGGTGAATCACAAAGGTATTACAGAAAATGCTTAAACAATATGTTTTAATGACATTGTACTTAATATAAAAATTTTCTTGAGTTTTTTATTATGTTTCCATTTTATATGCACTTTACATATAGCTAACTACAGAATTTCTGTGATCACCATTCCTGATTTTATGTCAAAAGGTACAGTCCTCCTTGCTTTGGAAGCTAAGCTAAGGTTAGGATAACAAAAAAAATCCTTCCACTTCAATATGAATCTTGTAATACTCCTAAGTATGGAATTAATCGAGTAACACCCTACTGCAGAGAAATCAACTGACAAATCCTCACAATGTAAATAAAAAGTGAGAAAGACGATCAACTCTCTGAAGATATTTTTTCCTTAGATTCCTTCCCCTCCTACCCTCAAATGCACTGTAAATATTTTGGCTTGGTATCATTTGTATTCTTTAATATTTTTTCATTGCTAAGACACCGCAGAAACAGTGCTCATATTTAAAGAGAACACCCCAACAAATGGTCTTGTATTATGCTATACTTACAGTTTCATAGATTATGACACACTTGTCCACAGACCTTAAAAAAACACATCGACATTAAAGTGATGCAAAGAAGGAAAAGGAAACCATTTCATTAACCTTTTCCAAAACCTGAGATTTCAAACTCAATCACCTACAAGACACAGACCAATTGTAAAGACACTTGAACAGCTCTAGAGGTCATAGAACTATAAGAACTATTACTTGATAATAAGTATTTAGAAATCTTCAACTCTTATCAACTTTCTGTTTTATAATATTGAAGCGTGAACCTGGACAGCTGGACATTTCAACAAGGTGCTGCTTACCCCGAGACTATCAGCCGTCCATCACAAGAAAATGCACAGGCCAGAACTGGGGCAGAATGCCCATTCAGTGTGCATTTATATTTTAACTGAACACCTAAAAACACAAGAAGTAAATTATTACATTTGGCTATATTTGACAAGCTATAACATAAGCTATTTTAAGAAGCCCAAAGCTCCACCAAAGATGTGACTCTGTGACATATTGTTTACAAAAAAGGGAATAAAAAGATCACAGAGACAACTTCCCCTTTTAATATCTCCAACTTTCTCACTTTGTAGTCTTAGCACGTCTCACAAGGTTTTAGATAATTAAATGTGTATCTGGACATACAATACTTTTATATGAAAGAGATGACAAAAAAGTACCCACTGAAGATACTTTTGGAAATTTACCTAGTCTCTACATTTAGTTTCTGCAGAAGCAAGTATTCTTTTCTCCAGCTCTTATTCAAGGCCCAACATGGAAACAAACCTTTCCCTGGCCAGGCAGATTAAGAGGTTTCAACCTATCCACCTTGAAAGGCCACAGTAGAATTTCTTTTAAAACTTTACTTTCAATACTTGTTCATAAATAGATTGCTAAATAAAATCTACATGGTGTAGCATCACCAAGTGCTGAATGCCTTAGCTGTTCTCCAGCTAATAATTAAAAGAACGCTTTCAACTTTTGGTTAGTTTGGCTGTGAATCCAGTAATATAAATTTGATTTTCAATTTAAGTTGGCACTGAAGACCTAGGATATTGGTGTATTCAAAAAACATTTCTATACAAACCTAAGAAATCTGCAAACAAAATAAGCCAGAGTTTGATCTGATTATCTTGTCCACAGGAAGCCATCTGGAAGTATTTGACTCCATTTTCACTATCTGACAAAATAAAAATATATAAATGGGAGTCAGAAACATTAAAAATACCAGCAGATCAGTAAACTACATTAACATAAAAATCATTGCAGAAGTTCTGAAACAGTTTGGATGTAAGAAATAGGTATTCTTTCCTGAATAAGTAGATAAAGACCAGAGCTGTGCTCATGTTTTAAGTTTTCTTGATGAGAAATGTTTGATTGCTCTGATTATACTGCTAGAGTATTTGAATATAAATGATATGATTATATCAGTTTTTCGAGTAATTCTCAAAATTAACCACATACACTTGTACAAAATTAGAGTATCTGACAGGGAATTTTCATACTGTTATACATTTAATTTCTTAATTTTATAAACTGCCATTACATGATTGCAGTCCTACCAAACACTCAGTAAATACTGCATTAAGAGTGAAATACAACAATAATAGTCTTACAGCTTTCCCTTCTTGATTCAGTGGCTATGAACATTTCTGAATTACCATGTTCCACAAGTGGACTGTTAGATGCATAAGAAAGTGGTTGGAGAGTTGCAATCTGAGAGTCCCAACGGACCAGTGGTGTCCCTCAGGGTTCTGTATTTGGAACAGTGTTATTTAAATTTAAAAAAATTTAATAGGCAGCAAGAAGGGAGCAAGCACACCCTCAGCAAATCTGCAGATGACACCAAGCTGAGTGGTGCAGGTGACACACCAGAAGGACAAGGATCTGGGAGAACCCCAGAGGGACCTGGACAAACTCAAGCACTGGCCCATGGGAACCTCAAGTGCTGATACAGCAACTAGACTGGGGCAACCCCTGGTAACAATCCAGGCTCAGGGGTGAACAGGTGGAGAGCAGCCCTGACAAGAAGGACTTGGGGATGCTGGTAGGTAAGAGGCTGTGAACACTGCACCCCTTGCCAGGATCAGTTCCAGCTTCACCTTGGCCTTCTTCATCCCCTCCCTACACAATCATAATTCATCTCTATACTTTTTCCTGGTTACATGTCTTTGTTCCCACTGCCTGTGCATTTACTTCTTGCTTTTTAGTTTGACCAGCCGTTCCTGACTCAGCCATGCCAGTCTCTTGCCCTCCTTGCCCAGTTTCTGGCTCCTGAGGACCACTGACTCTTGCACTCAGTAGAAGATTTCCCAAAAAATCTGCCAACTCTGTTCCGTTCCCTTGTCCCTGAGGGCAGTCACCCACTGCAGAGCTGGAAGACTGTCTTCCTAAAGCTCAGGAGCCTGCCTCTATTCCTTACCTGACCTATATTCCTTAAGATGGCAAACTCCACCACAACTGCTCTAGATCCCCGGAGCTCCTAGGCAGCTGTGACTGAATCCACTTCAAAAGCAGAAGAACCACCTGTCACAACCTAAAGCACAAAGAACCTATCTGACACAATGGATCAAAACTTGCTCTGAATAAAGCAGGTAAAAAGAACCTCAGTTTAAAACTACCTCTATTTGTATTGGATAAGCACTACTTGTATGCATTTCATAATGTGTTAAATCTGCCCAAAATTCCCGAAGCTTCAAGCACTGATGATGAAACAGCAACACAGAAAAGGAAATATGTTGACTTTCAGTAATATATGGATTAAAAAAATCAAGAATGATCATAAATCTGCCAGAACAAATCTACAGTGTAGGAAATACCTGCTTTGTTGCCTGTTTCACCTTATCTTGGCAGAAGGCTGTAATTTTTAAACCAAGAGAATATTCTCAATATGAAATGGAGTGGTGGAAATTACACACTGATCTGTTCCAGCTGCAATGTATTTTTTGCCCTCAGATGCAACTCTTAGTTCATGATGGAGTTTTTTGTGTATTATTTTCACCACAAAAGATCCTACACCTTTCAGTGGACACACATTTGTTTGATTCTATATTGTCAATCACTAATTCTCTGTTCTGAAGTGTATGTTCACATCCTTCTTCCTCAGCTTCCTCCTGCTCCTTTCTTGCCTTCTTCCCCACTGCTTCACTCGTTTTATTCCTGCTCTGCACCACCTCTTAGATAGGGTAGTACTTATTGCCAGGTTCAGCACTTGAAGATGCAAGTGGCTGCTCAGTTATAACATTTGGGGCCTTTGAAATGGCAGCCTGTGTATTCTGAATACAAAAACCTAAATGTGTTGATGAAGATCACTTTGTCTCAGCAGTAGATCTGGAAAGGACGAAAATATACATACAAGGTGGTTAAGTCAAGTTGCTGTGTTACTTCCTAAAGCTTACAATGAGGCTTCTTCCCATTTTCCTAACCTCCAATGGAAGCAAATGACTTCGTGGGCAAATGCTAAAACAGCTCTAAGATTTCTGAACAACTTAGGGGAACACAGGAAATTCTAGGCTCATTACTCCCCCAAATTCCTCTAAATGACAGAGTCAGGTGCAGGAAAACAGCCTATCTGTTCATATTCCACAGTTCAAGCATTTAGCTTACTAGGTTTACAGCTCTCTGCATTGTTTTAATCCAGTCCTGCTCCTTGAGAACCAAAGTATGAAAGAGTCAAGTGGGAATGGTAATCAAGCACTGCATCTTCTAACACCATTGCCTGCCACTGGGTAATTAGCTACTTAAAGTGATCACTTTGTTTGTTGACCTATTACATTCCTTGCCACAGCCTGACCACAACCTTTACTTAAGAATACTCAGAATATTCTAAAACATCAGCTCTTCAAAAGGTCATTTGTATCTTAAGCACCAATGGCAAAAAGAATATGAAATAAAGAGCTAGGGAGAAAAAAAAGTATTTATTTTTTTAAATGTTCCTCCCCTAATGAAATGAATAACTAACCAGATACTGGATGTGAAGAAATATCACAACAGGTAACGCCAAGATCATGTGCTTTTTCATTATACAGGCATCTCATTTTATCATCCCAAATGGTTAAATCACCACTTGATGATCCAGTGACAAAGAAATTTCCATTGGGAGAAAATGCACAAGCCATCAAAGAACCACCTTTAACTTTTCCAGATCTGAAAAGCAAGAATACACAGGATTTGAATTTAGAGTAGGTAAAGTTCTACAAAGTGACCTCTTAAATGCAGTCTGATGCAATACGCCAAGCTCTTCTAAGGTTTGCACTTTGAAACTAGCTAACAGAGGAAAGAGAAACTCAAATCACCTATGAAAAGAAAGCAAAATAAGTTCTGCAGCAGGGACCAGACCTGCTCTTTGACAGCTGGAGGAAAAACATGAGATGGCAGCCCAAGGCAATAATTGTAACTGAGTGATAAAATAATTTTCAAACTAAAGACAATTTGCAAGGATTTAACACTTAAAAGACGTAATGCACTGTTAAAATTCCATGGCAGGATACATTTTAAAAGTCAAAGATAAATACACAATTATCATTAACACAGATTTACATGTACACAAACAAGGGGAAAAAAGACTGACAATTCTTCTGGTTTTAGAGACAAAGAGAACACCTACTAGCCCATATGATAAGCTGTAGTTGAGTAGAATACTTTGTGATTTATGATGTGGGATTAATTTTGAACCACTTGTACACCAGAAAAAGCAATGTGGAAAAGAAATTCTGTATTTTAACTAAATCGTCCAAAGCACTTTGTAGAACTGATCTTCAAAGAAAATTTCTAGCAGGAATGGAAGTGTGGTCAACTGTCAGGAAGGAAGTGGGGTCAACCTGACATCCTTTACATTATCTGACAACCTAATCAAAAGAGTCTCATTCCTTTTAATGGACACTAAATCCAGCCAAGCATGCATAGCTGAGTCTTTAAGTGCAAGGAGAAAATCACAGCCATGAGAAACAGTCACATGGCAAGAATTGTCAGTCCTATTTACTCTATTGTACTTTGTAGAACAACTGCTAATTCTCTTTTACTGACAAAAATTTTATTTACTGCCAGAGGTGCAATACTTAATGTCACAGAAGACAAGTCAATAAATTTTCCTCAGTGTCACACTAATCAGACCCATGACCTTCTAAAAAGCATTGTCTCCCTTAATTATTTTATTAAGAACACTGTCAAATCCACTGTAGTGCTTCCCATTTTTATATGTACAATCCTTTATCTTTACTGCCACTTTTAAAAATTTAGTTCTTTCATACAAAAAGTTGCAGATCTTGCTCTGAAAGCAACAGTAAAATAAATAGCATTGTGCAGACATTTAAAACTTGCAGACCAAATACCAGTTTTGTAACTTAACTACTGGACAGGAAACAGAGACCACTAAGAAATACACATAAGTCAACTTGCTTTCTTGTTCACATCCACCATAGAAGTCATTTAAATAGCCATCTTACTTCATAATTTAAACCATCATTTACAACAGCTGAGTAGATAAGGAGCAAATACTATGTAATTTTATTATAATTACCATTATTTTATTATAATTACCCATATATTTAGCCAAGCGAGAAAACAGTGCGATAAAACGTTTTGTCATTTTCAGCATCAACACAACCAACTGTTTCAAGAGAAACAAAGGATCACAGATGGACGTTAGATGGTCAGCTAACTTCCTCTGACATAATTTCCAAGTACCTTGATGATTTCTGCATGATACTAATTTCAACTTTTAAAAACAGGACATGTGCATTTTTTAATCTGCAATTACAAAAATTACCAAAAAATTACAAAAAATTACAATAAAAAAATTGATCAGCTGAAAATACATACACACATACACATCCCAAAACAGATATAAAGTTAATTTGACTGGCCTATTAAACTTTTAATAGTTGAAGGGGACAGGATGGGAATGTTCAAGTTTTTTATTTCTCTACAATGAAAATACCAAAGCAGAATAATTTCTGCTTAGTAATAATATATTTTCTATGTAGTCGTTATACAGCCACCATTCAACTAGAAGAAAATTAGGATGTATGTCTAAAACATGCATCACTGCATGTATTAAGAGCATACTATTTTAAAAAATGATGTTTTTATACTTCTAGGTTTTTCTCTTCAGCAACAAATATTCTGAATAACAAAATATAATCTCTTCACTAGTTATGTCTCAAAACAGATAAACCCTCAGATTTCAGAGTACTAATAACTTTTTTCCCAATTTTTCTTAAAGATAAAACTAGGAAAGAATAGGTTATCAGTACCCCTATATTGTCAAGTAAAACAAAACCGCCATTTCAGTGTTTCTTTATGTATTACAAAACATATGGTGACAGAAATCTGCAAGAATTCTGTTTATGGACAAATTTCCAGATTTACACAATTTCAAGTAACTATGATTATTAATCAATCATTTTGGAAAACTGTACAGCTCCCACATAAATCACTGCTGTGGAAAGCAAAGAGGCCACAAAATAAGGGACATGCCTGACAGGAGACTACCAACATCAAACAGTTCTGTCTTTCAGAAGCAGCTGCTCCCTCAATCCTGAGTGAAACATCAGTTTGCTCAAATTCTTAACTACTCTTCTAACTTTAGAGAGTTATTTCATTGTGCAATAGGGCCCTAAAACCTAAATAATGTCCTGCCAACTAGTAAGTACAGATTCCAACAACTGGCCTGAAGAACTCACTGGAAGTCAGAGATATAGAGGAGAACTCTGAAGAGAGCTCTAAGGTTCATGCCTTTAACTGTGCAACACCAATAAATACACTCATCTCCTTTGTTTCAAATGTTGCTTGGAAAACTGTGAAATGTTGACTGTCATGCTTAATTTACTTAGCACAAATACTTCTTTCTGTCACTTTATGTCTCAAAATGTACAGTTTCAGGACACGTCCATAGTTTCCAAACTCTGATTGCTGGATTACCAGCAAGCTTCTAAGACCTTCCTGGACTCCAAACTCCTGGTAATTAAACATTTAATTTATACTATGTGTAATGCAATATAAAGCACACAGTACAGTCAGGCTCCACTAAATGTGTATTATTTATCACAGTTTGCTGACCCACTGTTTAGAAACCAGATGCATACAGCCTGCAATGCATCCTGATCTCATGTTAAATCAATGAAATGAAGTTTAAAAAAATCAAGATTTAGATGCAAGATAACTTTGTTAAAATTTAAAGCTTCTTGAGTTCACGTTGTTTAACTTAAAAAACCAAAAAGCTACTCAGCACTTCTCCCTCTCCTATTAATATCTTTTGGTCATCTAAATCCTATCCCAGCATCTTTCTGATACCATCAGAGGTGTAAGTCTGCATATCTTGCATACAGTAGAGAATACTACTTGAACTATTTTCACTTCGAAACAAAGTATTTGTCAAAAGATATTTGACACTCACCGGTACAGTTTCAAGGACTGCACGTTCCAAAGAACCACGCTGCCGTCGGCTGCCCCTGCCAACAGATAGGTGGCCTCAGGAGAGAAGCGGCAGACCCTGACGGGGCTGGCCCCGGGCTGCTGCAGCACGGCCAGCCTGCGGCCATCGCGGCTGTCCCAGAGCGCGGCGGTGCCGTCCGTGGAGCACGAGGCCAGCACGCGTCCCGACGGCGAGAAGCAGCAGCAGTGCACGGCGTACGCGTGCCCTTCCAAAGGCGAGTACGGGAGCTCGGTGAAGTCGCTCAAAGAATAAACACGAATTGTTTTGTCCAAGGAACAAGTAGCCAAGCACGACGTTGAGAAGGCGCAGTAGTTGACATCATCACTATGATCTGCTAAAGTGTGAATTAATGTCGCCATTTTAAAAAAATTAAAATCTGAAAAAGAGTTTAACAGTTAGACTTAATTTTCCTATTTCATAAATGAAACGTACTACCTTAGCAAGCCAAATTCTGAAGGAAAAAAAAAAAAAGAAATACAATCTCATTTACAAAGGCAAGTTTTTCACCTAGCATTGTTTAAGCACAGAATCATAAAATCACAGACTGGTTTGGGTTGGAAGGGACATTAAAGCCCATTCAGTTTCACCCCTTGCCATGGTAGTTAGGGGCAGGATAGGTAGGTAGGATAGTGGAAAGTGACACCTTCTATCCCAGGTTGCCCCAAGCCTTGTCCAGGCTGGCCTTGAATGCTTCCAGGGATCCAGGGGCCGCGGTTTCTCTGGGCACCTTGTGCCGGGGCTTTACCATCCTCACAGCCAAGAATTTCTTCCTAATCTCTAATCTAAACCTCCTCTCAGTTTAAATCCATCCCCCTTTCTATCACTGCATGCTCTTGTAAAAAGACCCTCTCCAGCCTTTTTGTAGTGTGGTTAGAGCACTTTCCAGTGAAGACCGAGACAAAAAAGTCATTTGAGTACCTCAGCCTTCTCCATGTCTTGGATAACCAGGTCTTCTGCTTCCCTCCAGAGAGGGCCCACACTTTTCCTGATCTTCCTTTTATCACCAGCACACCTATAGAAGATTTTCTTGTTGCCCCAACATCCCCGTCTGGATTTAATTCCATCAGGACTTCAGCTTTCCCAACCTAATCCCTGAGTGCTCAAACGATCTCTCTGTAGTCCTCCCAGGCTACCTGTTCTTGCTTGCATCCTCTTCAGTTTTGTCTGAATTTGTCCAAGAGCTCCCTTCTGCTTACTTTCAGAGATAGAAACAGTAGTGATGGAAATACATCAGCTCAATACCACATAATTGTGCTGCCATTCCAACGTTTGACCAGAGTGACTTAAAACATTTAAGTCAAAATGTGAAAATTAACTGGGTGATCACAATTGGAACCTCTCCAGAAATTGCATTTGGTGCTACACTGAACAACCAAAAGACAATGTGAACTTCACACGCATTTTCCCAGGACTTAAAACTGCTGGAACCAGTTTAAATTGTATCAGACAAGTAATTTACACTGCTGAGGTCTGGGAAATCCCTGAAGAGATACATTCCAACCAGTTACTCCCTATGCTGCAGATCACAGACAACTTTCCTGAGAATAAGGAAGCACGGAGCCAAAATGAAGTGCCTACAGCTCTTATAAGCTGTTTATAATTAAAAAAACCCACTGTAATATTATTTATATTGAGTTAACTTAAATAATAGTTTGCTGTTTTAGATAAGTGCTTCATTCTGAATAATAATTTCAGTGCTGAGGCATCTATGAACAAAACCATGTACACTCACGCTTTTTTTTTTTTTACATAGAAACATACACACACATTTGCTTGTATGTATGTGGACATGCAAGAATGTATAAATGTATGCACACATGCAGAGATATGTACGTATATGCACAGGTACAAAGGTGCATATGTAAGGGCAAAATACTCCTCTTCAGACAGTGTATGGCACACCAATTTAGCTAGAGATCATTGAATACTACCTATTTTAGCTTTGGGATACTCAGTTTTACTACTATTCTCTTTAAAACCATTAAACAGATGAAGTAGTACCAATATAATATCTTAGCTGCAGAAAGAAAAGAAACATACTTTCTTTAATTGTCAGAAACCGAAGAGTCAGGCAAAGCTTGACATGTGGAAAGATGAGCTGAAAAAAACACCTTGATCTAACTGTGAGGAGACTTTCAGCAGCTCATTGCAGGAAAGCAGACCTAAGAACAAGAGGTTTCAGTGTCAATAAATCGACTGAGGGAGCGAGGAACAGCAGGATCATTCATCACCAGAGAGATATTCAGCACCACAGCATCAGAGGAGTTCCCAGAGGAGACTCTGGGAATTACGCATTTTTCCACATAATCCAAAACCAGCAGCATCTGCCCACAGAAAGAGCTACAGCAATTCTCGACGCGGCTGGCAGCCACTTCCCTAGTGCTCTTTGCCGCAGCCTAGCCCCACCCAATCCATCGCGCCGGCAGCGCGGCCAGGACGCGCTCGGAAGGTCGGCGGAATCACCTCGAGCTCCAGTGGCAGGTGTCGGGCAAACAACACGCTGCCTCGCCTGCGCGGGGGCCCCGCGGCCACCAGGCCCGGCTGCCCGGCCGTGAGGGGATCCCGGCCGTGAGGGGATCCCGGTCGTGAGGGGATCCCGCCCGCACTTCCCGCGCCGCGACCGTGACGCCTCCGGCCTCGACCTCTCGCGCACGGCCCGGGTTGCTGCGCACGCACGGTGCCCCCCCGGCCTCCCCGCATTGGCGCGGCCCGG